GGAGGTTGAGGCGTATGTATGTGAACAAGCTGAAGTGCCACAAAGCAGCAGGAGCGGATGGGATAGTCAACGAGTTCATGAAGTTTGGGGGGAAGGGGATGATCCAGCTGATGGTACTGCTATACAATTGGGTGTGGGAAAACGAGTATTCGCCAAGTAGATGGAGGGAAGGAGTAGTTGTGAACTTCTGATAGGCATGGTTGAGCCCCCGTCTTTCCGAAACTTTGGTCGATGGTATCGTTGGAATGCTTCGTGTCCGAGGGAACATTCGGGGAACATTCACGCATGCGGATTCAAAACTGGACGGAGGTTATTGGTTGTAATGTTCTGATGAAGACTTGTTTCGAAGTGTTGGTAGATTCCAAGAATGTTTTGTAGTATTCCGTATCGCATTTGAGAACGCCAAGATACGATATCGATATATCTACCCCCGAAAGTCGGAATATGGATACGATATCTGAATATTATCTCATATCTCATAACATGCGATATCGATACGATATCGGGATATAGGCTATGTCGGATATCCCCGTCATATCGACACGATATGAGACATACATTCATGGGGAAACCAAACAAAAACAGTAACGGGGACTAGAGCAGCGGGACTAGAGCAGCGAGTATCAGCCTGAGTGGGGATTGGCACGTTTTCCGAGAGTCATCCGTCTCGATTCTGACGGGACTCCGCTGCAGTCTTGATCTGTGCCAAGTACCGTTCCAAGGATAGACTAATTGTGTTCTTTGTTTTTGCTGCTTGGGATATCGTTGTCACGATATTCTCTCGAGATGGTGGATATTTCCATCACCATTCATAAGTTCAATGTTGGATTAAGGAGGACTGTGCATATCAATCTGAAATCCGAGTGTGTATAAGATGGAAGGATCGGGAGTTCAGTGATTTGGTGGACAAACCCTTGTTTGGATACTAATAATGGATGGATTTTGGGCGATCAAAAGATTTGGGTGAAAAAGACATGTATGTAGCCGCTACCTGGCGATACGTTAGGAGCGTTTCGTAGATCATATTTCGCACCGAAAAATAGGGAGGCTGTTTGTGTGTCTTCTGCAGAATACGGATATCCGATATCCCCGGGGTATTGTACTGTACGTGGGTGTAGTGGGATTGATGGACTTGACGCGCGAGGCTCTCTTTGACTTGCCTGCCCATGTCTCTTACTCTCAGCTAAGATAGGAACTTGTCGCTTCTAATATTTCTTCCGTGCACCAGAAAATCGTCCCCTCTCGAAAAGAGCCCACGAGCTTGCTCCGACGCCGCAAACAAGATCTACTGGGTGGGATGTTATTTAACATTTTCACGTCTGGTCACTCGCCCGAACTTGTGCATACCAACACTACTCGGTTATTGGTGTTGATTTCCTTAGCTTGATGTCTGAACCAAAGGTAATCCCATAACGCAGTCAATCCACCCACCAACTCTTTTTGCCGACTCTTGTTTCAATCTGAAAACCGAACCATATTGTCTTTTGTAGGCCGCTGCCATTACGCAGACGCTTTGGTCGAGTGTAACAAAGAAGAGTGCATTACGAATACTGCTGTACACAAACGCAGGTGCCACTAGTAACATCGTTCATGGCCATGCGTTCTCGCAGGATTTAGAAGCAAGATATCGAGATATCGTATCGATACCACATGATGTCGGATACATATCGAGATATCGTATCGATATCGGATGATATTTGAAGTCTGGAATTTTGCCGCGATATCCGATACGATACATCTATCACATTTCGCAAACCACATCCCTCATCCGATATCCGATACGCAACACTAGTTTTTTGTTGCCGCGACCACTGGAGCATTTGGTATTCGTTAAAAACACGAGAAATGCAATAATTCAGTTACGATGATAATTTCTTGAGAGGGCGCATCGTTTGAAGCCTTCTTGGACATTCATTCACGGCAGCCTAAACGAAGGCGTGTTGATAGGCTACTTGGAAAGCTGTTATTGCCGTATTACCGGTCACTGTTTCGGGGGATTTCTGAGATACAAATATCTCCACCGAGCAGGGGGTCTGTTCGGTGTACTCTATGTAGATATCTTCTGCGGGTCTCTGGCCTTTTGGGTATGGGTCGGTTAAGACACCGCAGGGCGTCGTCCCTGGTGCGTGAGTCTTCCTCCCCTTCGTTTTGTTGAGTGCTGAGATGGATTGAGGGTTGCGTTTTGTGGCTGGTCGTGCGTGGGCTAGGTGGAGACGACGAGACTGAACGTGGTGAATAACAAGAGAAGAAGACAAGTTGGCGTCTTGTTTGAGAGTAGATGTGACAGATTTGCGTAGAATAGGGTAGTAAGATGTTATCATGAACGGAGATGAAAGGGCTTTTCCAATACGGAGATGTAGCAGGGATCAAAGCATTTGTTGGATTTCAGCTTGTACAAGCGGACATCAACGCAGTAGTATTTTAGCAAGCTTACGAACGCATATAGGATACCATCAGGATTGTCATTGGTTTTATTTCAGAGATATTTTTACAATGTAAATGACAGTAGGAATAAGTACTACATATGTTGTTGTACTTCGTATTGGTTTAATATTCATGTAGAGTATGAGAC